CCTGGGATCAGTACACAATTATAAGACGAGGTGTTTTCATTTTCATTTCGTAAACGGTGCAGCTGTTACATTCTGGCACCAGTTAAGGTGGAACGGGAAGAATCGAACAAGCGACTTCAGCCTCGTAAGAAATCAAACGTTAAGGGACATTTTACAAGAAACTGTTCTACTTCTGTGGAAAAGTTTCCTGCCGGAGATGTGAGAAAAGCAGCTACAGCTCAGCTAAAGATTAAAGCGGAGCAAAGCAAGTCTGTGTTTTCATTTATACTGTATTTATAGACTGCATTAGTACATCAGCACGTACTGAGACAGATTTACAGCCACGATGGTGAAACGTTACTTCAGTAAAATGGACATGAAATGTTGTGGCTCCCAAGATGGTTAGATTTTTTGTTGAAACTTAACCACAGTTTTTTTTTTTGTCAAGTGACACTTGTTGCCTGGACCATAAATTGGCCTCAACTGTAAACTTTTCACCTGGAAAAACTTATTTAAGGTTCACAATCAGACCTTAAAACCACTGCTGTACATTTGAGGGAACATTTCCATTGTTTGTACCTTGATGAACCAAAAATGTACCTGAACAGAACCTTTATTTTGACGGTGTAAAGACAGCAGCGCTGCCACAGGAGGTGAGCAGCATGTTTAAACAGACGTAGCGATGGTCACTTTTTCACTTTCGGCCGGAGCGCCCCTTTAAGACAAGCCGAACTGAACAGAGAACATTCTGGAAGTGAGAGCCAAAGATTCCTCCAGCCACTTACCTCAAATTCATCTGTAAGGTAGTAGCTGTCCGGATAGTACGGCCCACATAACGTGAAGATGGCCAGGAAGACCAAACCCAAAGAGAAGCGCTTCAAGGCGGGAATCGCGCTACAACACAAAGACAGGGGTATTTCAGCACTGCAGCTCATTCCACACAAACACTGACGGCTCATGTGCTTTAATACGACTTCACTGATGGATCAAAGCAGGGCTAAATTTGCTAATGATGAAAACAGTGAACGGTGAATAGTGACAGACCCGCCATGCTGATGTGGGGGGGGGTGTCAGTAAATATAGTGTACTGCAAACCTGATAAATAAACGCCACAAGTCAGTGGTTTAGCTCAGAGTTACTGAGCTCTTTCGCAGAATGAACAGTCGCGCACTTGCAAGTGATAAACGGCGTCAGTGTTGTTTTATTACTGATTCTGACACGACTCACCAAAACACAGCACAGGGTTATACAAAATGCTGCTTTTTAGTTAACTGCAGATTTTATTTTACAAACAATGTTTATTTGCTGAAATTAACTTATTGGAAAAAAAAATAAAGCAAAATGTGGCTGTGCAAAAATTATGACATTTTTCTAATTCATCTGGAAAATATTCATTCAATTCAATTCATTTTCCCAACATGCTAAACTTTCTAAAATAGAAATTGTGTATTAAAATGTATAAAAAAAGTATTGCATTTTATTACATAACATTGTGTTATACATTTTTTCTTAATACATTGAATTCAGCAAATAAACAGAAATTGTGCATTAAAAATAATGTGAAATTACATATGTATATATATATACATACATATATATATATATATAGAAAACAGTACATTATGTAATTTTTTTATACATTTTAGTGCACACTTTCTATTAATAAAAAATTACATATTTTATTATGCTAGATTGTATCATATTTTATTTTTTCCCCAAATATTTAGCTCAGCAAATAAACAGAAATTGTGCACTAAATTGTTTTTGGAAAAAAAAATATTTTACACTGTTTTCAAATTATGCTATATTACATAATATTATTTTTTCATTATGTTAAACCCGAGCAATAAAATTTGCAGTAAAAAAATATTATGTTGCATACATTATCATTCAGACCGGAAAAGTTTTGATTTTCTAGCTAAACTCTAGTCAGCAGTAGCGAACAACTTCCCACGCCAGACCTCGCGCCTTTCAGAGCAGGGACACATCTGGGGGAGCTTCTGGCTACTAGCCTCGCAGCTCCAGAGCCAAACCAAAGGAGCAAACTTCAGGATACTGTTGGGCCAAAATATGGCTTTAAAAAGGCATACAGTGCTGAAAACAATGGAAAGGAGTAGCCTTTGCTGGGAAGAGGATGGAGGGCGGCGACCGAGCGAGTGTTTGGCCAAACTTTAATCATGTGATCAGTGACTCAGTGGCCTGTAATAACAAGCTGCAGCTCACCTGTTGGGCACCTGGCCAGGGGCAGTCGGTCATTTCTCTGGACACCAGGCTCTGGTAGTTGCGCAGGGTGAACTGAGGCCCCACCAGGAAGCCGCCGTAGAAATAAGAGAAACCACAAACCTCCAGCAGAGATGGAGTGGAGGAGAGAGCGCCCTGCTTCTGCTCCGCGCTCAGCTGAGACTAACACAGAGCAGGAGACACAAACACGGTTATAGAGGGAGAATAAAAGGTGATGCTATTAAGCATAAAGCAGCTGGTTTATGAATAGCAATGAATATCGCTGTTCTGTATTAAATAGGGACAGGATGATATGATCAATTACATCACAATGCCTTTATCTGAGTATCTCAGGTGCTCCCAGAGCACTAAACAATGGCATCAATCATAAAAAAAACAATTTTGATTTTGATTAATTATAGAGAGCCGGTAAACAACAACAACAACCAATTTATACTAAATACATACAAGCAGCCGATTGGATGTCAGCCTATTATGACATCATCTTACGGTGTTAATTCACTTTTAACCATTTGTATAGCTTCTGTTCAATTTATAAACAGCCAGAGATGAATGGAAGGGGCATTCCACCAACCTTTCAAAATTCTAGCACAATTAAGATGTAAACAAAGTTATTCGGAGCGGTTTGGTGTAAAATACTCCATTCTAGACTCTGTATTGAGTCAGAACTGATCACAGTGGTGGTGACAGGAACCAGACATCCTGAAGATTTTAATGCCTCTGAAAGCAACATCATATGAAATGGTGATGGATGTATTGATCCGCTTGACGCATGAGACATCGTTTTCTGACAATTCTGAGAAGGTTTTGGCCTAAAACCTACTTTTTATATAAACGATCAGGGTGGAGAGGTCCACAAAAAGCATTGTGAGGCAAAATAGTCCCCCCAAAAATATTTATTTTTTCAGATTTAACACTATTTTACCATCAACATTACAACTAAAAGCTTGTGTAGGTTCATCTTTGGTTTTGAATAGTAAAAAAAATGGCTATATTTGCATTGTAGACGCCACGCCCCCTGATTCCCATCACCACCACTACAAAGAAGTGAGTCAGTCAGTCAGATGAGTTTCTCTACAATGAATCATTTCACATCAGACCACTCTGAATGACTCTGAATGGTTTACAGCTACATTTACAATGACTGAATTATGCAGAAATGATGAAAAATCCCCTTTTAATATTATCATAGTTATTCATAGCCTTGTTTAAATGTGGCTCTACTGTTTATCTACTGTATTTCGTGCAAATGCCTTTAAGCATTATGTACTTTTGGCCATATTGGGCACCTTTGAGTCAAACAGCTGGTTCATATCAGCACCTTTCGACCAGTTTCTTCACCCAGATGTAGTTAGAAAATTAGAAAATGAGGATTTTTACCACTGGAAGTGGTCAAGCACTAAACTTGATCTGGGTTAAGAAGCTGGCCCACAGTCATGTGGTCACATCTACTACTGATCAGTAATAAACTCAACAGCCACAATTGAACAAATACAAAATATTAGCACGTAACGAAACAAAGACTTGCTGTAAAGGCAAAACACTACTGGGTGGTTCTCCTAACACAGATTAAACCTAGGCAAATATGCCATTCACAGGAGGGGAACTTCCCATTCAAACTCTATTACAGTCCTACAACAGGATTAAAGGTACAGTCTGTACCATTAGATTTGGAAACTTCACTTCCAAGCTGAAAGAAAAGGCTTCACAATATACAACACGCATGAAAGCAGCTCCACACAAAAGATCCAGCAGTCAGTAACCTGATTAAACCTCCACTAAAGCCCTAAATGCTGATTATCCCAGCACAGCTTAGGGTCCAGACGCTTTACATAACAGTGTGAGGAGCAAATTAGCAAACAAAGAAAAGAGTGCTGCATGGAAATCAGTCATATCTGCCATCGTAAAACCTCAGAACTCTGTTTCTGTTGGTTTTTATACTGTTTGTAAACACAAGCTGCCCTTAACTTGTCAGGATGAACAGAACGATGTAAATGGACTGGAATAATTATGACCACTGCCAAAAAAAAAGATCTTTTCATTCTGATAAAAACGAGTGGAACAGCGCACTTACTGTTTAAAAGATAAGGGGGGCATCTTTCTGAACCCTTTACAGAGCTCTGACCGTACGCCCAGCCTGGACCATGCAGAAAAGTGATATGTGTACTGTGACTGGAATTTTTCTTATTTCATTCATTTATTTTATTGTATTTTATTTTTATTTGCTTGAGTTTTGTAACTTAGTTTAAATCTAATTTATAATTACTTTTTCTTGTAATACCTTTTTATTTGTTTTCTTTCTCATTTTTTTTTATTTTTATATATATGTACACTTTTTTCCTTTTCCTTCTTTTTTACTCTCTTTAATTCTGTGTTCTTTGTTATTATGGAAGGATTTTTTGCATAGTGAGGTCGTCTGTTTTATTCTGTTGGCAGATAATGTTGCATGTTTCAAGCATTACGTCTAAAATAATTTCTGTAAATAAAGTGATTCGGAACTACAGATGGAATCGTCTTATAATAGTCTAACACCAATCTGAAAGGTAGTCAGGTGAAGTTCACGGACAAACTAAGTTGGTTTGTCCAAAGCAGCTAATAAAGCTTTAAAGCAGTTAAAGTTAAAGCAGAATAGTGTTACATGTTTATGATAACTTAATTGGGCTTATATAGGGATTCCAGGTAGTTGCTATGGTGGTAATAGGAGGCTTTTATGAAATTCCAGCTTGTTGCTGGAGCGTTGCTTGGTGGATATCCGGTAGTTGCTAAGGTGTTGCTATGCTGTCCCAGGTGGTTGCTAAGGTGCTGCTAGGTCACTGCTATGGTATCCAAAGTGGCTGCTAAGGTTGTTAGGTGTCACATCTGTGGTGGTTGCAAGGGTGTTGCTAGGTCATTGCCATGGTGTTCCAGGTGGATACTAAGGGCATTTCTAGATGGTTGCTTTGGAGTTCTAGGTGGTTGCTAAGGTATTGCTAAGTGTGTGCTATGGTATTCCAGGTGGGTGCTATGGGAAAAGAATGAACGGCGTACAAAAATAGTACCTTAAATTGGTCCAAAAAGCACAGCTTTTTTCAAGCCAACTTAGTCAGAAATGTCACATATATCAACTAGATCTAATATGCTTTCACTTGCCGAGTAGGTGTGGGCAATATGATGATATTTTATCATTACCGTGATAAACCACGCAGACTTTTTTTTGAGCATATCGTGGATAACGTAACTGACAAACTACATGTTTAATTACAAAGTGAGCATAATTGCTTTAATTAGATTTAGTGCAGTGCAGTTTGTGCAACACTGAATAAAGAGTGTAGATTTATTACTATTTTTGTTGCACAAAAGGTTTTATTTTGTCTGTTCTTATGTAGGTTAAATCTGTGTGTGGAGAACAGGACATTAATACTGATACTAAATCCCAAACAGAATGGTAGTCAATGGAATATGGGCAACGATGACTCTATATTTCTGTAGGATAGTTTGGTAGCTAGACAGCAGCCAGTCACAATAAGAGAATACCTCGCGTATCCACTGCACTTAAAACAAACACAGGACCAACAGGAACGTGAAAATGAGAGACGCTCATAAGAAGAGAGCAGAATATGAAAGTATACGCTTTTCAGAAAACACTGGGAACTCACTGGGTCTTTTCCACCGTCGTAGTAATCAAGTGATAAACCTGTAAACAAAAGACAGACAGCATCATTAATAACACCACTGTGAGTGTGTGAGGATATGACAACTGACACCCATGATTTACGACTCTGTGTTAATGCAGAACGAGTGGGGAGCTCTGACTGAGACGGAGTGTCAGTTCAGTTAGTGCTGAGAAAAACAGTCATTACACATTAAAGATCTACTAAACTTCTCGTGATAATCAGCTTTCACAGCGTTTTAGTTCTGAATTTGAGAATAAAGGTGTGAGTTCGTGTAAAAGGGAAACGTACCGATGAGTTTGAGCGTCAGGACGCAGTGAGGCATCGTCCACTTGATATCGTACTCGTCTGTGGCCGTGTAGTAATAACCGGTCAACAGGTACGCCTGAGAGAGAGAGAGAGAGAGAGAGAGAGAGAGAGAGAGAGAGAGAGAGAGAGAGAGTGAGTGAGTGAGTGAGTGAGTGAGGAGTGAGTGAGTGAGAGAGAGAGAGAGAGAGAGAGTGAGAGAGTGAGAGAGAGAGAGAGAGAGAGAGAGCGCAATGGGATGCATAGATAGATAGACAGACAGAAAAATACATAGACAGATATAGAGGAAGAGAGATGGAGAGAGCGAGAGTTAGAAAGATGGAGTTAGACAGACAGATAGATAGATAGATAGAGATAGACAGATAAGTAGATATAGAGGAAAAGAAGGAGACAGATAAATAGACAGACAGACATAGATATAGAGGAAAAGAGCGAGACAGATAGATAGACAGACAGACAGATATAGAGGAAAAGTGGGAGATAGATAGATAGAATAGAGAAAAGGGAGAAGAGAGAGTGAGAGAGAGTATGAGAGAGAGAGAGAGAGTGTGAGTGAGTGAGTGAGTGAGAGAAAGAGAGAGAGAGAGAGAGAGAGTGTGGGTGAGTGAGTGAGAGAAAGAGAGAGAGAGAGAGAGACAGAGAGAGAGAGAGAGTGTGAGTAAGTGAGTGAGAGAAAGAGAGAGAGAGAGAGACAGAGAGAGAGAGAGAGAGTGTGAGTAAGTGAGTGAGAGAGAGAGAGAGAGAGAGAGAGAGAGAGAGAGAGATATTGAAGTGGTCCATAAATTACATTAAAATCCCTCTTGGCGTCTCAGCATCTCATGCAAATTCTTTCCTGGTTATTATTTACATATTTAAATTAGTGATTTCATTTCATTTCATTTCATAAATGAAAGTTTGGACTGAGTGTAGTTTCTGTTGTAATTAAGGTTAACAGGTCATAAACCTCTTATCTGTGGGCTGAGCAGGAGATTCAGTGGTGTCTGCTTTAACACTGCAGGCTAGTTAAGTCTCTATCGAGCTGCGTTATCAATGTAGCTCAGCAGCGCCTGTTTCTGCTGGACAGTGACGATATATGATAAACACAGCGCTGATAAATGTCTTACGGCATCTTCAGCCACACTACAGGCTAAACCAGCTGAGACTGGTGAACTTCCTGCTTAGCCATTCAGTTATACGTTTATTAGACCTTTATCCCCAAAATCCTTTATTACACAGCAAGAAACTGTCCAAAAAGTGTGACTTTTCACCCACATACAAAATAAAAGTCATTTAAAATTCTAATGAATTCTAAATTTAAATATTTTGACTAAAACAAAAATGTTTCTTTTACTGGAATGGGACTTTCTTGCTAGCATTCTGAGGAATTTGTCCAACTTCACAAGCCATAAGTAGCTGTACTGTTTACTAGAGGCCTAAAGAGGCACTTTGGGCCAAAATAAATCAGATCAAAAACGGAATCCAAGCTGTAAACATGCCAACTCACAACAAACAGGGCTGCAGTAGTGTCTAAAGCAAGATATACTGGATTAAAGACTCGCAAGACCCCCTTCTGATGATGTATCTTGAAGGTGAAAGTGAATTTTAAGTAATTCTTGGCTGAATTGTTTCTTAAACAAGGAATAAAAGTTTGACGATCAATTGAATTTAGTGCTACACCAGTAGCAGACAGTCAGGATCTGTTGTAGGGATTCCCAATGACTGTGAGATGTAGATGTGAGTGATGCATGCTGGGTATTGTAGTGAGAGAACTCTGACTGAGACCGTACAAAGTCGCGAATTCTCACAGGGACCCAACCCTGCCCTACAGAACATAACATTAAAGCTGGAGTGGGTGATTTTGCAGAAACCAAGAAGTGTAAGCTAGTTAGTTTGAAAAAATCCAACTGTAAAAGTCCCGCCCCCAATTTTCAGCCCTCCTTCTAAACCAGTATAGACCAACATCAGATAAATACCATCAACCAACACTTGCACAAAACTACAACGAAGACATTGTCGAACATACAGATTACATACAAGATAAAAGATAAACAGCTAGCTAGCTTCCAACTACAGCTTAGCTAACACTGAGAGGCTGAAGTTTGCTTTCTGGCTCAGGTGCCAGACTGTAACTGCTACACCATTTAAGGTGAACAGGGAAAATTAAAACAAGAAGCTGGCGAGTAGCAAGCCGACTTCAGCTTCATAGTTTTAATGCTGGTACTACTTTTTTCATTAACAGCTACTAGCACTGCTATGTAGGCGACCCTGCCCGTCTTCAGTGATAGCAGAGGAGGGTAAAGTTACATTTAGAGAATCATATGCCTTCAAAGAGGGGAGATGTGATAATTATTTATTATCACCGCCCCAATTCTTCAGTGATATGAAGCTGAAGTCAGATATTCACCAGCTTCTTGTTCGAATTTTCCAGTTCCACCTTAAATGGTGCAGCAGTTATGAACGGGAATTTAGCTAGCTAGCTACCAAGACATCAGTGAACTATTAGTGATTTGTGAACATGCAAAACGGAAGGCTAAGGGCTAAGTGGTACGGGGCGAAATGGGATTGGGCTTCAGTGCTTAGTGACTTTAAACTGAAGCGCAGCAGCATTAGCTTGCACGAGTTCCCCTTCAAGTACATCAGTACTGCACGTTTTTGCATTTTCTCTGCGCTACACTGTGCTAAATGAACCGCAGAGCCAGTGGAACCAGCTCATCTTCATGAGCCAAACCCTGCGTTGGAAAATAAAGACGTTTTAAAAGGGCCATTCCAGCCTAAGACAACAGCTTAAGGCGTTATTTGTTGTGTCGTGCAGTACTTCACAGCGCAGTGCTGTATTACTAAGCCTCTTCAGTTTGACACTTCAGGAATTTGAGATACAATGGCTTCAACAGTACCTGACCCTGAGGGGGAATTCTACCCATTTTTCACATGTTTGCATGACTAAATCATTAAGAATGCTCACTAGAGAAACTTGCCAAGTCAGAATTGTTCACAGTGGTGGTGATAGGAACCAGATGAACACCTCTAAAAGCTCCCTCACAGAAAGTTACTACAGGAAATGGTTATGAATTCACTGCCTGATGACTGAGACACTGTTTTCTGATAGTTTTTGTCCTGAAATGTAACATTTATAAATGGGCGAAGAGGTACATACAGGCATCGTGAAGCAAAACAGCCCCAAGAAAAAAGCATTTTTTTTTCTTTTCAAACTTAACAATATTTTATCATCACTAACATTGCTTATAAAAAACTCAGAAGACTCGTGTAGGTTCACTGGTGGTTTTGGATAGTAAATAAAATGTCTGTATTTGTGCTGTAGTCATGGCGACCCCTGGTTCCTATCACCACCACTGTAAATAAACCTGAACCATTTCACACCAAACCACTCTGACTAACTCTGACTCTCGTTATCTTAAAACGTGAGTATCTGAAAAACACCCAGACTTTGACAAGACGTTCCTTTTTAGATATTATTCTGTGGTTTAAGGTCTTTTTAAGCATTAAAAGGTGCTGAAAATGGAGACAAAAGGAGTTTTGTTTGTGAATTGGAGCAACTTTGACCCCCTGTATCTCCACACTGATCCTTCAGACAAGTCGTGCGTGTTGTGTAAACATCTTTCTCACCATCTGAAAGATAAAGCTGCTCAGTACACCCGTCACCGTCCTTCCCATGAGCCTCAGGAAGAGGAACTGGACAATTATGCATAATGCGGAGTGATAGACCTGAGACCCTGAGAGAGAGAGAGAGAGAGAGAGAGAGAGAGAGAGAGAGAGAGAGAGAGAGAGAGGGGTGTGAAGAGATCTGTTTAACTTCCTGAGAGAACAATTATAGATACTAATTCTTTATTCCAAACATAAACAAAGAGAACCAATCAGAAACGGACAAAAAGACAGAAACGGCACCACAACAGAACAGATATAGAACAGACAGACCTGCTGTTGTATCCCAATGCAGCATTCGGAGAGAAGTCAAAGGTTAGTTCATACGTTTGCTTTGCGTGAGAACACACGCACATACACACATCTATACGTGCCTCAAGGGGAATCCCACCAATTTTTCAAAATTTCTGCATATGTCATTTGTCAAGGTGTTGACAAAAATACTTGGTGTGAAATGACTCAGATTTCTATACAGTGGTGTTGATAGGAACCAGGGGTCACCATGACTACAACACAAATATAGACATTTTATTTACTATCCAAGACCACCACTGAACCTACACGAGTCTTCTAAATTTAAATATAATGTTGATGATGATAAAACAGTCATAAATCTGAAAAAATATGATGTGTTTCATCAGACAGTGAATTCATAACCATTTCATGTAATAACTTTCTGTTAGGCAGCCTTTAGAAGGTGGACGTCTGGTTCCTATCACCACCACTGTGAACTATTCTGACTCTAGAACAGAGCATTTCACACCAAACCAGTCTGAATGACTTTGTTTACAACTTAATGATTCAATTAGGCAGTAATTAGTTAATAAATTAGCAGAATTCCCCTTTAAAGTGATAGATCAGTGAACAAAACTAATGTTCATACAGTTGCATGCAAAAATTTTCCAAGTTTTGTTGAACATATTTAAACATGTTGGCCTGTGCACATCTTATTTTTTTTATGTTTTATGCTTTTCCATTATGTTAAACTCAGCAAAAAAAAAAACAAACTGTGCACAAAAATGTGCTGACCACATGTGTTCAAACTGTGCATAAGACAGTATCAGCAGCCATCCTGAAGGCTGAATTCTGTCTGTACTTTGGTCCATTTTCACAGATAACAGTGTTTCACACAGATTCTCTGAGCTGTTATTACTTGTTAGCTACATTAGCTATGTACCTCCAGTGCAAAACTAACTAAGCAACTTTCAGTCACCAAACACGGCCACATTTGAGGTCATGCACACTGGTTTTCCGCAGAACTACCATTGTAACGAAACTCTTTTCAGCTTGTCAGTCATTTTCTTATCTGATTTAAATTTTTTGGCAAGCCCTCAATCCTTCCTGTACACAGGTTTTCATTTCAGTCTCACAGCAAACAGGAAATCGCTGTCAGAGAAACGGAAGTATAGGCCTATTCATTCTTCTCCACCAGAGACATCATAAAGGAGGAGGAGACAGTTCACTGGTTAATATTAATAAATATAAAAAGCTTGTGCACAGTGGCCGTCTTCCTTTAATTAAAAGAGCCAATCATCTCACTAATTAAGGCACAGGTGGGAAAAGCTATTCCTCGTCGTGGCGAGACAGTGGTTTGCAAAGGTTTGTGCACCCCTGGTCAAATTCCATGCTTGGTTGATTTTCTAAGTGAAAATAAGTTAACTCGTCCTCTACCGACAACACTTTCCTGATCATTTCAATGCACAATTACTGTTTATTTGCTGAATAAAACACATTTGAAAAAATAAAGCAATTACTTAAACATATATTGTCGGAAATACATATTTTTCATGTTTTATGTTTTTTTCCAGTGTGTTAAACTCAGCAGATAAATACAAAGTGTGCATTAAAATTAGCAGGAAAATGTCACATTTAACTGTGTTCCTTCAAGAGGATGTGTTCACTTATTTTCACTCAGAAAATCAACAAAACGTTATTTGACCAAGAGCGTTCAGCAACCTCAGCGCTTTTTGAGCTACTGCAGTTCCTTTTCTGATTTTCTCAGTGATTTCAAATCTGTTTCTGAAATGTTAACGTGGCTTTCGGTTTTAGGTTTAGACGTCTTTCCTCAATCAGAAAGAACTGGTCTTGTCTGACGGGTAATAACTCCCCCTGGGGGGGGGGCGTGGCCAAGCTTGCCACAGAGCAGACAGACCTACGGGGGTTATGTCTCTACTCTCACTGCAACTCTCAACCAGGAGAGGATCATTTTGTAAAAGAGAGAAACGCTAATATGTCATTTATATTGTAAGGTCTGTGTCCAAAAATATCCAGACAGCTCTTCTAATTAGTGAATTCAGTGCTTTAAGGTGTCCGCATTGCTGGCACTGGCGTACAAGTGCGCACAGTTTGTATTATCTCCATAGAAAAGCATTGACCAATAGAATGGGATGCTCTGGAGCAGCCAAACATGAGCCTAAAGAGTGGGCTATAGGGGTATAAAGCCTCCCAGCAGTGGGGTGTGGAGCAGAACTGTGTTCTTTGGAGCGATTGAGCTCTATCCAATAGCTTTGGGAAGAGCTGGAGATTCAGAACTGACCATCCAACATCAGTGCCTGACCTCACTAATGCTCAGTCAAACCCTCACAGCAGTGTTGCTGACTGGGTCTAATAAATGTCAGGTTTCAGGTTCGTCTGAACTAGCACATGCTGCAGCCTGAACAGCTATAACATTCACCTATATATTTATTATTATATCACTTATTTTAGCTGTTGCTTATTACTTACTGTAGCTCAAAATTACGTGCAGCTTAAAATAAAGTTCCTTTTTTACAAGTTTGTAATTTAGCTCATGTTGAATATCAGTTTTTCAGAACACTGCCAAGCATTTTGTCACAGCTCTTCATATTTACAGGCCACACTTAAGCCGATTGATTATTAGTTGATAAAATTACATGAATAATCGGCTACCAAAAGCAACCCTAGCAATAATCCATTGCTGCTGTTGCGTGTGAGCAGATTCGGGTTTAATTTAGCACTGTTCAATCAGGCCATGTCTCAAAACTGGGCCCACGATTTGGGTTCTGGCTTCAATTTCATGCCCGTGCAGATCTCTACAGTAAATGTTTCAACTTCTGTTGTTAAGAGGTTAAGAATAGAGGGTGTTAGTGCAGTAAAGGGGGCTAAACTCTATTAAAATCCCTTATTTCAGAAGAAACGCTGGAAACCTTTGAACACAGCATATCACAATCGCAATAGGCATCAATGTAAATCACAAAAACGGAATTTTGTCCATATCATGCAGGCCTATTAGCAGAACTAGCTCAATCACTATTCTAAGCCTGCACCCATACACCGCCCCCAACCCTCCACCCTCATCCCTCGTTCCCTTTTCCATCTCACCAAAGTTAAAAATGGCCAGGGACAGCCCTGAGAGAGTGTGGAACAGATGAATGACAGATGCCGACTGATGAAACAGGAACCGTCGGTACACCAGTGCAAAGGGATAACCTGTAGGGGAGGGGGTAGAGGGAGAGAGAGAGAAAGAGAGAGAGATAGAGAGGTTATCACAGGCTATTTCATGTCAGCTGACCGATAATGACCCTTTGTACAGAGTTGTGAGTCAGCCAGATGACCTTGTTCTACAAGTGCCATTCAAGAAGCTAAACTTTGTCCTGTATAAACGTGAGCACTGAATAAACCCAACACAATAAATTACTACATTAAACAGGCTTTAGCCCTCCTATTATCTTCAAATTTACTAAATTCTTATTATTATTATCCTTGGGGTGAATTTGACCCCAGCAAATAAACCTTCAGAAAATTATAATTAAAATTGCTACCCAAGTTTACAAGTCAGGTACTTCTCTGAAAAAAATATTGATACTGAGATGTCAACCATTGATCCCAAAGATTACAGGAGTTTTAAAAACTTTCATTTGACAAAATTAGAGTCAGATATTGACTAACTAATGCTTTCTTCACGTTCCAGTGCTTGGACCCCTAGAATTGCCTTCTGCTGGAAAATATAGGCTGTCATGGAGGAAAGAAATTGGCCACATTGCAGACTGCTGGACACAGGCTGAAACAGAATGGACTTTTGCAAATCCACAGGTGGGACTGTTTCTGTCTAAAGGTGCCAAAAAAATAGGTGTATTGTCTCTGTAGCTTTCAAAAAGCCTCCTATTTCATTCGCGAAAGGACTTGCATGGCATGCATGACCATGTGTCAGGCCAAAGTACAGAGGACTTTTACCCTTTTTCCTCACTTTATCTCCCTCCACCCTCGTCCTGCCACACGTGTAGGCTAACGTTAGCAGTCTCCGTCCATTTGCAGCAATGTAGTTGCGTTAGGAAGCCTGAGTTGGCTTCTTGTTCGAATTTTCCGTTCCACCTTAAATGGTGCAGCAGTTACATCGTGGCGCCTCAGGCGTTATAATAGTAACTGCTGCACCATTTAAGGTGGAACGGGAAATTCGAACAAGAAGCCAAGTTGTGCTTCCTAATTCAATCTCATTCAAAGCGGCTGGCCAAAATATAACCCACCCAAACAGAAAGCGCTCATCAAAGCCCACACTGCCCCCAAAACTCACCTATTAAGATCGACAGAATCAGGCGGACCGCCGGCTCAGGCGAGCCTAAATAATCCGAGACTTTCTCCAGCAAGGGAGCTGCCATTTTTCGTGTGGGCGGAAGCAGCTCCGACTAGAGTTTCCGATGATGATGATGATGATGATGATGATGTATGGAAGGTTAACCTTCTTTTCCTCCTCCTTTTCGCCTCGTTTATACCCTCCCTTTTCTCCTCCTCCATCCACAAAAACGCCACTTTCGCAACGAGCCTGGTTACAACACAGCCAACAGACTTTAAACAGAGGCTGTAGGGAACGGTGGCTCCTCTTAAAGGGCCAGTACCATGGAAAAACCCCACTTTATCTTCTCTTTTACCTAAATAAGGCAAAGGTTGTGTGTAAACACACGTTTTAAAACGTGTTCAATCCTTATGTGTTAACTAAACTCAAAAAAGCAGCCTGTTTTTGTGACGTCACAAGGTATTCACATATACTGAACTGTTTTATAGAGCCTTAAAACAGATTTTAAACATTTTAGATCGTATAATGCCTGGAATGTTTTATACTGGGAGTTAAGTTCTAAGATGAATAGCATTAAGAAAATCCAGTATATTATGCATCGGAAATGGCCTTATTTTTCCTTTGTTTACGTCTAAAAAAGTTAAACAGCATTGATTTTGAACTATGAAGAACTGCTAAGCCCACAGCAGATCGACTTGTGTAAAAATAAAAGTACATAAAATCGTATAAATGTAAAAAGTGGAGTTCAGGAGAAATAAAAAACCAAATGGAAGAGAAAAAGTAGGATATGGACCCTTTAAATTAATGACCCACAAAGATTATAAGCTTGCAGACTCGGTATAAAAGGTTTATTGTGGAGTGGAGGACTCTATGTTGGTGATAGTGTATTTCTGCCCTCTTCTGGTGGAGGAGGTGTATGACTGCTGAAAAAACCTATAAAGTGGTTCTTTTATGTTATTGTTTTATTTTCTTGCATATTAATGTCTTACAGTGACTGAGATGTGTGTCAAAAAATGTAAAAAAAAAAAAAAGGTGTGGTTACTAAACGTATATTTGTTTACATAAATAAATAAATGTCGGTTCCTTTTTTACATCTACTGAGGACTTTTATTATACTCACCAACAAGTAGCCTACATGCTAGATATCGGCGTTAGTAAGCGGTGATGGGCTTTCCGGTCAGATTTATCGACTCAGCTCACCACTAAGAGCCGACTCTCTCAAACGACTCTTCACTTAGTAGCGCTGGGAGTTTTTTGTTCACTAATTAGCAAAGTTGGCGCTGATTTAATTTAAAATAAAACCTCAGTATGCATTCTAACAGTTAGACTAAAGAAAACTGCATTTTTTGTTATATTATAAACGAATATATAAGTATTTTTTGTGGATTTATATTGAGGCAATGATCAAAACGAATCAACCAGCCAACAGCAAATAAAATCGAAAATTCATAAGATCTTTAAAATAAAAAAAAATAAAATAAAAATCAGCTCTTCAATCCGAGTTGGCTTCTAACGTTCATCTGAAAGAGCCGGTTCAAAGATTCGACTCGCTCACGAACGACACATCGGTTTAAGACAGCCAGGCACAAATCACAATTTCGTTAAATATGCATTTTTCTACATGTATATACCGAATATGTCTCATGTATGTAGAGCAACACTCTTCTTTTAGCTCTTAGTTTGTAAACTCACGATCATCTAGCTATGTAGCCCGTTGCTCTCTCAAAGGAACATGGGAAATGGAGTTCTTAGTACGCATACACGGCGTTAACGTACGCGCTTTGACACTACAGCATATAAAAGTCTGCAAAACCAACGAAAAAAGACTTATAAAATAAAAAAAAAATAAGTTTTGCATTAAATCTATCATTAAACCATACAAATGGGGGCTTCTTCTTTAGAAGAAACCTACTGGACAAATTCTAAAAGAGCAAATTTTCCGAAGTCTCAATCCTCTAAGAAGCCCTCTTAGTTCTACCTACAGACACATCACTCACGGTGGGCGGATTCTCTCTGAAACGCAGTGTTAGGACTAACATGTTATATTTAACATGTATTTAAAAACATACTTAATATTGTACTCATAATGACTATTAAAGGACAAGAAAAAGCTTTTATAAAGACCAAAGACCACGCAAGGCTTTCTGGGTATGCAAATATATTCACCACACCCCGCCCACTCCACTGAAAACGAGCCCAGGACTCAGAATAGGAGATATGAGCGGCCTCTGTTATATTAAATATACATTTACTCACAAGCTGAAAAATAACACGAGCACACCAGTTAATTATTAGCCAATATTTATTCGAGTCCTAAAGCAGAAATTTGTGGAAATAAGAGACAGAAAGGAGGGGAGTAGTTTCATATTAACCCATTCATGCAGCATGATGAGCCAAACGCCACAGGACGTGTTCTGATTGGTCCAAACTGGTGAAATTATGTGTAGTTGTGACTTAGATAAACATCTAACAGACGCTTTTTGAGTAATTTGCATTTTTTAACTCTGAATATTAATGAATATTTAAACATGTCACTTTATTATAAATATTACTTTTTATTTTAATAATATTAATGTAATATTAATATCACACAGGACCATGGGAAATGCAGTTTTTATGACACCTACTCAGCGTTAGCTGCACTCAAGCGCTGTAACTACATTCTATAAATGTCTGTGAAACGATCTTCCTACAATCCATAATACAAACCAAAACATGAAATCTTTTATTAAAAACACAGAGTTTTTAGGACTTCTTCTTTAGAAGAAACCTGTTGGACAAATTCTAAAAGAGCTTATTTTCCAAAACACTGACCCTCTGAGAAGCCGTCTTAGTTCTACCTACAGACACATCACTCACGGTGGACAGACTCTCTCTGAAACGAAGTGTTACAACATTTTATATTTAACATGTATTTCAATACAGACATAATATGAAGACCAGACACCACGCAAGTGTTTCTGGGTATGCAAATTAATTTTGTTTAATATGCATTATTCTGCATATACATAATGAGTATATTTGGTGTCTGTATAGAATTACGCTCTTCTTTCTGCTTAGTTTGAAAACTCTCAATCATCTGGCGCTTGCCTTGTGTCCCACTGCTCTCACAATGGACCATGGGAAATGTGGCTTTTACAACACCTACTAATAACTGCCTTCAAATGATTTTATGCTGAAACTACAACATATAAAAATCTATGAAATTATCACCCTATAAGTAAAACACACACAAACACTGATTATACATGAAATCTTTCATTAAAACCACTCAAATGGGGGCTTCTTCTTTAGAAGAAACCTGCTGGACAAATTCTAAAAGAGCAAATTTTCCAAAGGACTGCCCCTCTGAAAAGCCCTCTTAGTTCTACCTACAGACACATCACTCACGGTGGATGGACTCTCCGAAACGCAGTGTTACAACTAACGTTTTATATTTATCGTATGTATGTATGTTTGTATGTATGTATTTCAATACAGGCATAATATTTAATCAATAAAGACCATTATAAGTCGAGGAAAAGCTTTTATAAAGACGACAGACAACGCAAGACTTTCTGAGTATGCAGATTTATTCACAACGCCCCGCCTACTTCACTGAATTTGTTCTTTAAGTAGTGAATGAGCTACCTTAAATACACTGCTCCCTTAAATCCAATGCCTCCTTAATTCCACTGCCACCTTAAATTTACTGTTACATTAAATCCAGTGCCACCTTAAATCTATTATTTTTGCTGTTATTGCTGTGCATTAGGCTGTGTGAGTCTGTGTGTACTGTGTTTCAGTGTCTGTGAGAGAGATCTGCATTGTGACATCGCTTGTGGTAGTTAAACTTAAATGTCTTGAACATTCCACCATTCCGTATAGGTCCTATGATCCTGCAAAGGTTTGTGGTTCTACCTCAAAAACAGTGAGATGAAAAACACCTGTTTTTTTCCAGCATAAAACCGAAAGAACAATAAGAAAAACAACACTGTCAAGGTTAGGATCGATAGTGATTTAGATATTTTTCAAGCCAAACCGCTTAACTGTACGTCGGATCTCTCATAAAAGCATACATACATACATACATCATCTAAACCGCTTATCCTACTGGGTCGCGGTGGGGTGCTGGAGCCTATCCGAGCTGTCATTGGGCGGAAGGCAGGATACACCCTGGACAAGTCGCCAGTCCATCGCAGGGCAGACAGACAGACATACACATTCACACCTAGGGGCAATTTAGCATGTCCAATCAGCCTGACTGCATGTTTTTGGACTGTGGGAGGAAACCGGAGTACCCGGAGGAAATCCACACAGACACGGGGAGAACAGGCAAACTCCACACAGAAATGACCCTGGTCACCCGGCTGGGAATCGAAATTCACAACGTTTACAACGTTTTATATTTAACATGTATTTCAATACAAACATGATATGAAGACCAGACACCACGCAAGTGTTTCTGGGTATGCAAATTAATTTTGTTTAATATGCATTATTCTGCATATACATAATGAGTACATTTGGTGTCTGTATAGAATTACGCTCTTCTTTCTGCTTAGTTTGAAAACTCTCAATCATCTGGCGCTTGCCTTGTGTCCTACTGCTCTCACAATGGACCATGGGAAATGTGGCTTTTACAACACCTACTAATAACTGCCTTCAAATGATTTTATGCTGAAACTACAACATATAAAAATCTATGAAATTATCACCCTATAAGTAAAACACACACAAACACTGATTATACATGAAATCTTTCATTAAAACCACTCAAATGGGGGCTTCTTCTTTAGAAGAAACCTGCTGGACAAATTCTAAAAGAGCAAATTTTCCAAAGGACTGCCCCTCTGAAAAGCCCTCTTAGTTCTACCTACAGACACATCACTCACGGTGGATGGACTCTCCGAAACGCAGTGTTACAACTAACGTTTTATATTTATCGTATGTATGTATGTTTGTATGTATGTATTTCAATACAGGCATAATATTTAATCAATAAAGACCATTATAAGTCGAGGAAAAGCTTTAATAAAGACGACAGACAACGCAAGACTTTCTGAGTATGCAGATTTATTCACAACGCCCCGCCTACTTCACTGAATTTGTTCTTTAAGTAGTGAATGAGCTACCTTAAATACACTGCTCCCTTAAATCCAATGCCTCCTTAATTCCACTGCCACCTTAAATTTACTGTTACATTAAATCCAGTGCCACCTTAAATCTATTATTTTTGCTGTTATTGCTGTGCATTAGGCTGTGTGAGTCTGTGTGTACTGTGTTTGAGTGTCTGTGAGAGA